TCTACAACAGTTAACCCGAACCCAAAAATTTAAATTATAAAGCCTTGAAAATCAATTTTGTGCTTGTGGTATTTGTGGAACATTTTAAAAATAATGGTATTTGTGAAACATTTGAAAATTGTGGTATTTAAAAAAAAAAATCTTTAAAGTATGGTATTCTAGAGAATTTCTCATTTATAAATCAATTAAAAAAAAAAACTCTAAAGTGTGGTATTCTAGAGAATTCCTCATTTATTAATTAATTTAGAAAAAAAAAACTTTAAAGTATGATATTCTAGAAAATTCTTCATTTATAAATCAATTAATATGCAAAACGAATAACTCCCTCGTATCTACGTTCTTCAAACACATCCCGAAAAGGTTTGGATTTCAAAAAATTTGTGCAAAAGTAAATGATTATTTTAAGGTTTGAAACTTGCGACTAAATCTTGTTCTCCACCCAGTCATGAAAAAATATATTTGTAGGATTCCGTTTGTTTAGATCATGGGTAAAGAGAACTTACGTACGTAAGATAATTGTTCTTCAAATAATTTTGTTAAGTAAAAGAAAATATTCCACAATCCACATTCATATTATTAAAACTACCAAATACTGAATTTAGTTGTATATTAAACAAAAACACACGATTTGAGCTAGTGGACAATGGACAAGCATAAGGATTATTCGAACGTACGTACTTGCGAATTTATAAGTTTAAAACTACTGGTTATATTCTAGTATCTTATTATTTTTTTAGCAAAAGTAATCTTACTATTTTTAATATAACCAATACTTCTATTTTTCAACTGCAATTTTATGTATTTAATATATTGTTTTGGATTGAGATTGGTAGTTTTCAAGTAAGGGTTGAATCTTACTAACCACGAAATTTTTATTGACGAATTTTTTTTACTATTGTAGATGTCTGAACTAGCAAAAATAAAATAGATATAGTTTTTTACAAATATCCAAAAGTAGTATGGATTTCGGATACAAAATGTTTAACTTTTGCTAGCGAATTGTTTTTTACTAATAGAAATCTTTCGGTCCACATTATTTAACTTATAATACAAAATGTTTATCACACGGCCATGTATTTCAATAAAATGATCTAGTCTAAGTTTTCTTAAATGATTTTAACCTCACC